TCTTTTTTTAAAAAAAAATTTTTTTAATAAAAAATCATTTTTTGGGAAAAAAATTTTTTAAACCCCCGGGGTTTTTTTTCCCCCCCCCAAAAAGGGTTTAATAAAAATTTTTAAAAAAAATTTTTCAAAAAAAATGTCTCAGAAATATCTCACAAAATTTGACACATTTTGTTTCATATCTTAACACCTGTTCATAATTTGTTAAAGCATATTGAAGAAAAAATGTGCAACATGACAAGACCTTTCATTTGATGTCAAAAAAATAGGACTGGCCCCTCAAATTTGGGGCTAAAATACGCCAAAAATCTTTTATCTATAACTCTCTAATGATCAATATTTTATTATACAATACTGAAGCAAAAGTATTCATCTTAACAATTTGATGCTTACTATATAAGTTGTTTGAAAATTGGTTAATCTGAATTATAGATATTAATATTTTAAAATCTGAAGCGGGCCCAAGATGGCGGCTGTCCCTGTCAACTCCGCCATTTCGCGGGTAGGGGTTTATGGAGGCAGCTGAGCGTTTGATTAAACCATTCTGACATAAGGATACATGAAATGTAAAAAACTACTTGGACTTTCACGTAGTAGTACGTTTCAATACAGTGTCAATCTTAAAACTTTATTTCCATTTCTTTGCTTTAGTTTTACTGGGCTAGATACGATATTTTATGTGTAGAATGTGTAAAATATACTTTCTTAACGTCGAATTAAAATTTCATTGAAGCCATCACACCTTTTTAATAGATCAGTCTAAAGGAAATCCGCGAATATTTACTCCTGGCGTTTGGCGCGAAATTTTGAATAGTGGCCCGCCTTTTATAATTCTTAGACAGGTGTACTGTTGCAAAAGTATACACAAATATATTTAGAGCAGTGCTCAAATAGGGTTCAATCCTCCTTGTGACCAAAATTTTGAATCACTTTTTAGCTCGATTTTACGAGCTTTTTTTCCTATTACCTTTCAATTGAAATCAGGAAAAGGGGACTGAACCCTACAATTAAGGGCTCAGAAGGGCCAAAAGTCTTTCATCTGTAGCTCGTTAACGATCAATATTTTGTAATACATTACTGAGGCAAAAATGTTTATCTTGACAATTTGCAACTATACATTATAAAATTTTGATCATATGTTACCTAATCAGTGTGCATATTGCTTAAAACGTCATTTTGGCCATCTTTTGTTCAATATTTCCTATCAAAATATTGGCCCTTTTCGAGATATAAAACCTCAAAGATTTAGCATTCTGACCCCTTGTGACCCTTAATTACGTAACGTATGATCAAAATTTTAAAAATGTATAGTTGCACAAAAAATGTTGCAAATCGTCAAGATAAGGTACTTCAGAATCACACAGCTACAATATAAAACCTTTCATTTTTTGCAAAACGGTTCTATTATCGACGCAAAGGGTAGATCGTTAAATCGTCAATGATTACTTTATTTTTGACTTCATTTGATATGACAAAAAGGGATTTAAAAGAGTCCTTAATTCAGAGCTAAGAAGAACGAGGAAATTCTATGATTATTTACCCTGTGCAATGATATAGCATAAATTAATTACCTTCATATATGATGTATGAAATGACCAAACTACTTAGAAAGATAAAATATCACTGAACAAAAAATTCACAAAATCTTTCATTTGGTTTGATGAAAGGGTTGGGCTTCTCAAATGATATCTTTGAATAACTGATTTTCACAAGTTGGTTTATTCGTGAATCTCCTTCATGGCTAATAATTTTGAGAGGAGAAATAATAATAATCGATTTGATCGAGTGATCGCTTAACCGAATACAAATGTCATCCCTGCTTTTTGTTTTTAAACCAAATTACGAATGTCTGGACACCTACACAAGTAAAGGGAATCGAATTTATACACAGTTTTCTTCGTCTGTTATGATTTTTACCATTAATGCATCGTGGTAACTGTAATATGTCGGTACCTTTTCCACTTTTGCTTGTAAAGATTTTGACAGGTATACATGGTCAAGGATAGTTCCCCCTTCTGTGGTATTAAAATCAACCATTTGCTTAAAACCTTGATTAAGCATGGAGGTCTGAATAACTCCTATAGATCTCGCATCTTCATTGAAGTCTCCAAGACAGATAAAAAACCTATACTGTGACCTCAAATATTTAACTACTTTCTCAAATTGTACTAAGAACTGAGAAGCATCCAAAGAATTTGGCCGATAGACAGTTAAAACTACGATATCTTTTAAGAGACATTTCACACAAATGGCCTCCACATTCTTCACAGGAAGAGAAGATGCAGCATTTTCTTGTCCAGTATCTTTAATGTAGACAGCCACACCTCCACCTTTTGATGCACCCAACTGTGAGAATTTAGCATTGCTAGCATCATAAGCATCCTCTCTGGTTACTTGGTAAAAACTAAATCCCTCTATTGTAAATTTACTAACATTTTGTTCAGATCTCAACCAAGTCTCTGTTAGGCAGATTATATCTGCATTCCTGTATCGAATATCTTTTTGCAAGTCTTCAAAATGTTTGTTAAGACTTTGAATATTGTGAAGGAAAATTGTTATGCCTTGTTCTAACTGATCAAAGTTAGGAAGATCTAATTTTGGCATCCCTTGCAAAGCTGCTTTGACTTCTGGGTCAGCATATATCTTCCTCTGTAACGATTCCAAATCGTTTGTTTCAATAAATAATCCTTCTTTTGACGTTACTCTACTCAAAGCTACATATCCTTGTCCAGGAGAGAATGTTCTATCTAAATTGACTACAACCTTGTCCACTGTCATTCCTTGTACTTTGTGAGAGGTACATGCCCACGACAAGCGTAGTGGAAACTGATGTCGAACTACATTTTGTTTTTTATGTTCTAGTATCTCCTCTTGAACTCTTTCAATTAAAACAATATTCCCATTATTCGTTTTTTTCCCAGACTTCTTCCCAACATTGACATTGTCAAATATTACTGCTACTGCAACAACAGTGTTTGCATCATGCTTCTGGCTATACACAAAATGAGAGATCTGCCCCATTACTCCATTTACAAGGCCATCATCTACGTTACAGTTTCTTGTCAGCATAACTTTTGCATTGATACCCAATAGCAAACTGCTAGAAAGATTGTCTGTTTTGGACCTTGTTATTGGTTTACTCCTTAAAATTAGCTTGCCTGTTGTTCTATCTTTCGAAAAGTCTTGAGCATCAATCTCGACAAGGTCAGAACAAGTACGTCTGAGCATTGACAAATTATATGAATTGACTTCGTCATTTGTTGCGTAGACGTGGAGAACATTTTCTGGTCCCTCTCTTACACAGTCATTCAAGATGGAACTTATTTCCTCTTCCAGGGGTTGTTTTACTAGTCTAGTCCGAAGTGAATTCAGTGCTGTTGCAAATGGAATGTCTTCACGTTGTCTCATAATTTCAGTCAAGTCCACTACTTTGAAAAAGTCTACCCAATAATCAACAGGATAAAGAGCATTGTCTTTATACAGTCTTTCATCTTTACGCTGTTTTACAGGAGGAAGTTGGTAGAAATCTCCCACTGCAATTACTGACACTCCTCCAAAGGGCTCCTTGGATTTTTTAATCTGCACAAGTCTCTCGTGAACGTAGTATAATAATCTTTTATATACCATGGAAATTTCATCAATAACCAGGATTTGCAGATCTCCAAGTTGAACTCTCATTTCACTTAAACTCTGTTCTTTCAATGGTTCATATGGCAGAGACATATATTTGGGCAATGAAAATAAATGATGGATCGTATTTCCTCCAATGTTGAATGCAGCTGTCCCAGTAAAAGCGGCCAGTAATACTGAAACACTGTCAGGAGAAGTTATTTTTTTTCCTAGAATTCGTGATGCTTCGAAATGTATGGCTTTGATAAGATGACTCTTGCCTGTTCCTGCGCCACCTGTTATAAATATATGCAGTGGATCAGTTTTTTCTCCAAATATTTTTTGCAGACACCATTCCCGTACTAAGTAAAATACTTTCATTTGTGTCTCATTTAAACTTTGAAGAATCTGCATTGTCTCCTCCCTTGATTGTGTATTCTGTTGAACACTGTAAAGAACATCTGAACTGCTTTCTGTTTGCATGTCTGGTAGCTCTTCTGTATCATTCAAATCCAGACCTAAACTTCTCTTTGCAGAACATTCTTGCCTCATTAATTCTGTCTCTGGACAGAGATTTGCCCAAGCATCTTCTGGCTCTCCGAGATTTTCATATGTTTCCAATGCCTCTGCGATGATATCTTCATTTTGAGCATAGCGTGTTCTGTTTTTGTCAACAATTGATTTTACTGACTGTACTTTCTTCTTTCCTGTCATTCGTACATATCCATTTTCATAAAATGCTTCATAAAGGTCAAACCCAGGAGGTTTCAACTGCGTTTGTGTCGAGTAAGGTAAGAAAAGCTGTAGCAGACATTGGTAATACTTCTCTGACATTTTCTCCTGATTGAATCTAGGGTATCTTATTACAGCTGACTTTGTACGAGTTCTTCTTTGGACAAAACCTTTCGAGTTCTTTAGTTCAAACACGTTGTCGTTTTGAGTCTTTGGAACCTGTGATTTTGCAAGTATTCTGAAATCAGAACAAAATTCTGCCAAACACATATTTTGAAAGGATGGATCATTTGGTAGATTTTCATATCTTTCTACTACATTTGTCATCCAAATATCATCCTCTTCATCGTCATCCTCAACATTTCCATCATTCATCTTCGTTTGATTTCTTTTTAGCTGAGACAATGGCTTAGTTAGACGAGTAGGATTATCACCCACTGGTACAAACACTACCTTTCTTGAACATTCCTTCATTTTCAGATTACATACGCGATAAACAGCTTCTTGAGTGCTCACTTCTCTGTGATTCAAATAGGCAGAACCAATTTTTTTTAAGGTTGTTCGTGCACTCTCGTTGCCTTCTTCTGCTTCTATTTTTGTTTGTTTCAATAGCATTCCCATTTCTCTCTCAGACTTTGAGATGTATGAAATTATGTAGACAATACAACTAAATGGATCCAAAACAAACTGAATGTCCATATTTGCATCCCAGCATTTTAAGAGGCATGGATTGTATTGATTTATCCAGAGCTCACATGGGTTTCTTTCAAGAACAACAGTTCTCTTTTTTGCTAATCTTTTATGAGCTTCCTCATACTGTGTTTGCGTCAATCCTAGATAACTGAAAATATCTTCGGTTGTTTTCGATTTATTTGCTTCATCTTGCACTTCATTCCAAACTTGTAATAGAATTTCCTTAGCGATGGACTGTTGTTTTTGCAAATCAGTAGCCTCAGTTTCCTCTTCTTCTTCAAGTGGAGAGTTGATGAATGTGGATACAGATGGTGGTCTAGGGAAATTAAACCTACACTCTGTGCCCTTCTTTCTGCATGACTTTGAATGATTTTTGCTGTGTTGTTGCACTGCTAAGACAATGTTCCTCAGCTCCAAATCTTCTTCCTCGGAGGGCACTGCACAACTCACGTATTTGTTTATGAAATTACAAACGGCATCCTCTCCATCTTCATTAAGTTTTGGTGCATTTTCTATCCAATATAAACAATGCATGTGAGGTGATCCCCTTTGTTGAAATTCGACTCTTTGGAAGAAATCAGACACTTTTCCAATTGGTTCTGAAGGTGAAAATATTACATCTTTCTGAAACACATGAAATCTATGCTCAAACATTCTGGCAACAGTGACAGGATTACTTCTCAGTACCTCATTCTTTTCAGACCAGTCTAACATACAAGCATCTCTGTTATCATTCTGTTGTTTCAATATTGTAGTGACCGCATCATTCCATCTATGTTCTGCAGCAGAGAAGGAACAAAACCAAGTAGGTATTCCTAATTGTCTAAGCATAGCAAACAGATCCTTTTGTGCAGCTGACCAGTATGCTGGTGTTCCTCGTATAGGCTGCATGAATCGTAAAGCCTCGTCATTTTTCATCAACTTCGAAAGTACTTCAGGGTCCTGTACCATATTTGCTGTCACTTCTTGGTCATTTCCTATTCTTCTGATTGATTTCCTTATTGATATCTGCGTCTTCTCTATAACTTGATTTAAATCAGACATAAACTGACTGAAGAAAATGTAATTACTGTCTTTCGCAAATCTCGCGTCTGTATTCATAAGACGATTGTTGTAGTATCTTGATAGTGTTATTCGTGTTTCTCTGTTGTCATTCCACGAAAACTGCCCACTTGGGAAAAGGTATGGAAATGTTTTTGCCTCATTCCCTTCTTCCTGTAACATCCTAACTGGATTATTGCCTTCTCCTGGAGCAATGTCATATATATCATCGAAGTAATGATCAAGAACCTCCTGACCAATATCAACAGGTTGTAGACAAGAATCTGACACACTGGGCTGCTGATCATCATCCTCTGATAGTGAATCGCCAACCTCCAAAATTTCTTCTACATCTTCAATTTGCCCTTTCCAGTTTGTATCAACTGCTACATCTTCATACCATTGATTGTTAAGTTTTAAATACTTCAATGCCTCACATATGTGCTTTGGATCAACAAACTGGTACTCGCTGTACCCTTTGTAATTCAACTTCCTCTTTAGTTTTACTCTAAGTAAATGATCTTCTCCAGGTCTCATCGGTAAACTTGTAACTTTTTTCAAATCAGCTGGTACACATACAACTGGCCCATGGATATTTTTCTGACCACCATGAGGAAGATTTATGACTTTCATGAAAGGTATATGTATTGCAATCAAGTGTTTCTCAAGGCTGTTCAATTCTTGTAATTCCTTTGGAATATCTTCCAAAGCCATTTTGTTCGCTGCAGCTTCTGCTGGAAAATTTCCGCTTAAGATTTTCCTGTGACAAGTATAACAAATCCATAACGTTGATTTAATGCAATCCTTTGGACATGATTCTATACATTCGTGACAGTACTTATCTTGAATACACAAGTCTGCAACACTTGCTGCCTGCTCAGTTTTGGCATATGCTTTCCGTTCGCATCTTTGAACTTGATTCCGAAACAGTAGCCGATCACAACAACAGCACGAATAGTCAATGCCTTGCACAACATTTTCTTTAAATACTTTTACCACCTCTTCCTGGTTTTCTAATCTAGCTGTTTCAGCATTTCTACGACTTTTTACCATCTCTTTCTTTTTCATTTTCGTCTCTGCATTCGAATCATATTGATGTCGACTTGCATCTTTAATTTTTGACCTGAACGATTCATCACTTTTGTACTTTTTCGCTGCGGTTTGAAGCTTTGCTTCTCGGAAATTCTCATTTTCCCTGTATCTCTCTGTACTTGAAGTATTGACTAGAATTCTGTGCATTTCTCTGAGTTGTATTTCAATTTACTACTTGCTTTTACCTTTTCTCTATGTTCATTTCATCTGAGTTGTATTTCAATTTACTACTTGCTTTGACCTTTTCTCTATGTTGGTCATCTGTTGCATACTTGTTAATGCTTCTCCACTTGATATTTTCCCTATGATCAACATCTGTCGCATACTTGTCAATACTTCTTTTTCTGACATCTTCCTTGTGATCAACATCTGTTGCATACTTGTCAATACTTCTTCTTTTTACATCTTCCCTCTGCTTATCGTTTATTGCATATCTATCAATACTTCTCTTCTTGACATTTTCCCTGTAATCATCATCTGTTGAATACTTTAAGAAAGATCTTTTCAGTTTCTTTTCTCTAAATTCTTTATCTTCCTCATATCTCTTGTCTTAAAGATTCATTTCCTATCTCTAAATTCTTTATCTTCCTCATATCTCTGTTTCTTGACTGCACTAACACTTCCCCGTTTTTCTGTTCTAGATTGCCTTTCCACCTGCATACGTGTTCGGTTTTGGTATCGCTTTTCATACTCTTGAGAAGTTTTAAACCATTGTCGTGGTGCTAAGTCAATTTCCTCTCCATTAACAGACAGTACAACGTTGTAATGGTTCTGCTGGTAGTGATTCAAATAAATTGCTTCAGTTTTGCTTTGCAAACCAGGATCTACTTCAGCAACTAAAAACCTTAACCAACATTCTCTAGAGAAAGTGTATATATCAATGTTTAGAAGATGAGCTGTTGCAAATATTTCAACCTCAGTAGCCCAAGTACCTCCCTGTGACATTTGTGTGGAAGACAGGTGACTTTCTACGGACTGTACGCCATCTCTTAAGAATGGTTTAAATAGCTCTTTGTTTTCCATTATATGCTCACAGACAGCATGGCGTATAACATAATGGAAATCTTCTGAATTTGCAAGACTGAATGAAATGGCTCTAAAGAAGCAATTCCCATCTCCTATTATTTCCTTTTCAATTAATGGTTGTGAAATATTAGTTCTAAAACAATTGACGTCACCAGAATTTCCAATGCTAGAGAATGGAATGTTCAAAATTTCACAAAGGGCTTTTTTAAAGTTTGTACTTAAGGGAATAAAGGTAAATTGTAACTGCTCATCTCCAATAAAAATCAAATCATCATCTGCATCGCCTGTTTCATGTGTGGTCTCCAAAGATAACTTTGACCCTTGAGATTTTCTATCAATGTTTTCATCTATCTCTAATAACTCACTAACATTTGCAATATCACCCATCTTGCAACACACACCAGTCAAGTTACATTCAACACCTTTTGTATATCCCATTGAAAATGCAAGACCTAGAAGATGTGAATACACTTCACTAACATTCTGAAGTAAAATTCTTGTGCTCCTTCCAGTTACACTTATCATTCCATCTGAAGATCTAGAATGAGAGTCAAAAGCAAAGAAACCACTTCCTGTCACTCCTATAAGCATTGTATTTCCACCAAAGCATACAAAACAGCCATCACTGTCTGAAAGGGCAACCTGAAGTGCTTCATCTAGTGGAAGTGAATTAAACTCTGCATAGTTTATTCCATCATTTGCCAAAATGACACTTGCATACGTCTGATTTGCATGAAACTGATATGATCGGTTAAAACATTCAAAGAATTGTGGTAATTCCTCTACAAGCAAATACCTATCAGTGATTGATGAGCTTCTTTGCAAGTATGTGTACAGTTCATCACCTGTCATTAAAACTCTGTCCATATCCATTGTTGTCCAGCTCTTTGCATTCTTAAATTTGTGAAAAGCTAATCCTGCCAAACAATTAGCAACACACTGTGTTCCAGCATTCTCTTCAAACATAGGATGAGCTTGATGAAAAGAGCCCTGAACTGAAAAGGGTATTTCAGATTTATTCTGACAAAAGTGATCTTCATTTCTTCTATTATTTTTCTCTTCAAAACCATTCTCTGAAACAGTATGATTCTCATTGTTCTCTTGCTCATAAGTTCTCATTTCAGATTCTATATTGTATTCATTCAAATTTCCTTTCAATATTCGTTCAGACTCAGTTTTAATATCAGTTAAAAAGCCCTCATCTTTTGATACTCTACTGGTCTCCTCCATCCTGGAGGTATCCAGCTGCGCCTGACCTGCTGGATCAGACATATGCACTATGTCCGATCCAGGTGCCCTCGGTGGAGCACAAACCCACGGTGGGGAGTCAGGGGACGGTGCCTTGTCCTCGTTACGGACAAACAGACGACTTCCCCGAGGAGGTGGCAACCTCGGGGCAGGTGAATGCATTTTCACTCGAAGTGAGGCCTGCACCCTGGCCAGGGGTTTTTCCTCTTTAGGTGGAAACCCCATAGAACCAAGCCCCGGAAAATTACCGGGAGGAGCTGACATAGCTCCATCCTCTGTCCTGCAAGGAACAGAGAACTCAGTCACTTGCTCATCTGGCAACACATCTAGCATTGTAGGTTTCTGTCTTGCCTGCCTCTTTCTAGCTCTGTCTCTTTCACGTTGTGTTCTACCACAAACAGCTTTTCTTTTCTTTGGCATCTAGAAAACAAGAAGTTTTGATGAGAATGTAGCTCTATTGGTTTGTAATTTTTACAAAGAAAAAAAGTATCAATTACACAAACAAGAGGTCTGTGGGTCACATCGCTCAACTGAGCACAGTAGTAAGGAAAAAAAGCAGAAATCAGTTTTATACTGACAGTTTAAACCCAAAAGTGGTCCCAACTAATCCTTAAAGGAGAGAAGGTATGATTTGAACAAACTTGGATGAAGGATATGGAAATAATGAACAGTATTCAATCTCAACGTCCATTAAACAAATATACAAAATAAGAGCAGAGCAAACACGGACCTCTGAAATATCAGAGGTGGGATCAGGTGCCATGGAGGAGTAAGCATCCCCTCTGACCGGTCACACCCGCCGTGTGCTCGTTGTCATAATCAGGATATAACGGAAGAAATCCGTGGTCAATTCAGTGTATAAATAATGGACTAACAATTGGTATGAAAAACGTCAGTCAGCATTTCATTCAATGATAAATTGTATTTGCTGACAAGGTCATTGTATCGACCATAGAATTTACGAAATGATGACTTCAAACGAGACTGGCTTACATGTTTCTTCGACTTTCTGTCACTTTATTGCCTTTTAGATTTAAACTTACGTTGTAGCCCTACCCTACCCCCTGGGGCCATCACTTGATTCTACGCTACCTGATCAGTAGGATGCGTCCATATAAATATGATCAATTATGGATTTTTTATTCTTGAGAACAAGAATTTTATAGAATTTTCTTACATATACATAAAACTTGGATTCCCTGTTGTAGCCCTGCCCCAACCACAGGGATTATGATTTGAGCAAATTTAATTTTACACACGTTACCTGACGTTTTTAACATTTCTCTTTATAAATAAAAATTTCCATCCTGTTTATTATTATAGTAGGGATTTTTTTTATTTATAAAGAGAAAAGTTAAAAACGTCAAGCGCCTGTGAATATACACTACCTAAAGATGCTTCAATATAAATATGAGTAAACATATTGCATGCATTTGCTATTCTTGAGAAAAAGAGTTTTAAAGAGTTGTCTATATATAGTTCTATGTAAAACTGAGATCAGCTATTGTGGCCCCACCTTGCCCCTAGGGGTCAAGACTTGAACAAACCAGAATCTACACTACCAGAGCATTCTTTCTTATAAGTTCCATCTTTCCTGACACATTGATTCTTGAAAAGATTTTCAAAGAATTTCACTGTATATTTCTCTTTAAAAAAATTATCAGCCATTATGACCCCACCCTACCCCCAGGGGTCATGGTTTGAACAAACTTGAATCTACAATTACCTGGGGATGCTTCCATATAAATATGAGTATTCATGCCCCTGCTATGTTTGAGAATTTTTTTTTTTTTTAAGTTTCCCAAAATATTTCTATGAATAAATTTGACCGACCATTGTGGCCCCGTCCTACTTCCAGGATCATGATTTGAACAAACTTGAATCTACACAATCTGAGGATGCTTCCCTGTAAGTTTCATCTTTCCTGGTTCAGAGGTTCTTGAGAAGAAAATTTTGAAAACACACCACCAAGTTTTATTATTTATAAATTATCTCCCCTTGAATAAGGGTGTAGCCCTTCATTTGAACAAACTTGAATCCCCTTCACCAAAGGCTGCTTTGTGGCAAGTTTGGTTGAAAGTGGCCCAGCGGTTCTTGAGGAAAAATCTAAAATTTGTGAATAGTTTACACACAAATGGAATAGCTAGACAGACAAACGGCGGAGAAAATGTGATCTGAAAAGCTCACTTGAGTATTCGGCTCAAGTGAGCTAAATATTTTCCTAAATAAAACTTTGACATCCATTGTCGCCCTGGTCTTCCCACTGCGGTCATGCTTTGAACAACTTTGAATGTATACTATATGAGGATGCTTCCATAAAAATCTGACCAATCAGGCCTTGAATCGCTTTTCTGATAAATTATACAATCTATCCTAAAACCTAAGATACAACAACTGATAAAGTTTGATGATTCTTAGCCAGTTAGGGCTGAAGATATTAAAATGTAACTATAAAATACTATAAGTAGGTCATGGTGACCTACTTTTTGATTAAAATTTTCTTAGAACACAAGATGCATTAATTGACAAAGATTGATGATTCTAAGCCAACAAGTATTTGAGATATTCAAAAGTGGGTCACAGTGACCTACTTATTGGTCAACATTCTACGCAAACCCAAGGTGCATCAACTGACAAAGTTTGACAATTATAAGACAATAAGTACCCTAGAATACCTAAATATAGCAATAAAATGTCAAAAATAGGTCAGTGACCTACTTTTAGGTTGAAATTTTCTGAAAACCAAGATGCATCCCCTTACAAAGTTTGATGATTCTAAGTCAATCAGTACCTGAGATATTCAAAAGTAGGTCACGGTGACCAACTTTTTGGTCAACATGCTCTGAAAACCTAAGATGCATCAAATGACAAAG